AAAGAGAGAGAGAGAGAGAGAGAGAGAGAGAGAGAGATTCCCATTACAGAGGTTATTGCTTTGTTGGAACATAACACGGCTTGCTAGTTTGGTAATTTTATCATAAATGTTTATGAGCGCGTCACGAGTTTCATCGTCAGCAAGAGAAGAAAGAGTGTGGTGGAAATGTGACAGGCAGCCCAGCCCCCGTTTCCTTCACTGCCATGAAGATTTCAATTCTTTCTCTTTCAACTATTGAGGTTCCAGACCTCTCTAATACGCAGCGGATTTATTCGTTTGTAGTAGTCTTGTATAGCCGTCACTTCTATAGATAAACTGTGAAGCTTTTGTGTCCACGAAACCAGCGCGGTGCTTGTGGAACTCAGTGCTGTGTTGTCTGGCAGCCAGTGAAACTAACTGAAACGCTTTGGCAGATTTCACCTGAAAAGAGCCAAAGGAGCTGTCTTTGTTTGTATTGCTTATGTTTTACAAAGAAGAATCGAGAACAAAAAGAAATGTTGGCGCTTTTGCTAGGTGGTTGGAGGTGCCAATGGAAGGCTCAACTTGTTTACTACTCTTCTTTTATCCATTATCTATCTGTCCGTCTTGTATTTTTTAAAGTTGTTGGAACTGTTGGTGTTTCTACTGCTATTTCTGCCGCTGCTCGAGTTGCCTGTGTATTGTATCTATTAAAGATCCGAGTTGGGCTTGGAGAAAGCCTTTCTTCGATGTCTTTCCGACTTTCCCGTCCACCAGGGGTTTTCGTTTTGTCGCCCTGTCCATCGTCTATGGGAGTTTTGTGGGCACTCTGGAATGGTTGCTTCTTCTCTCCTGTCAAACATCTGCCGTCCATATCTTCCCCGTCAGTTCTTTTCTTTGTATTTAGCTCAGTAGTAATACATCTAATCTTCAGCGCTTTTATCGAATATCCCGGTCTTTCTGCTGAAATGTTGAGTCTCTCAGCCCGGTCTGGCTCTGACAGACAGATATATGGAAGCCCGCCTCCTAAATTGCACTGTCCTAAAAAAAACAACACAACAGCAACGAAAACCCCTCAACCGAAATAAAAAGGCGATGAGGCGCCATTCTCCATGGTCTAAAAAACAATTATTGTGTCCATATATGCCCAACTCCAAAGTAGATTTTAGACACCCTTTCGTTCTGCCAGAAGCAGTCTCAAGATTTCTGTTTTCTTCTTTTCCTTTTTCGGATAAGGGGAACGTGAGACGCCGTGATTG